GTGGGGCAGGGAACCTGGAACTTCCCTTCTCCTAGGGACCACCCAGTTACAGTTTCACTGAAATCTTGCATTTTAGTACATGCTTACTATGTCATGGAATATTATATGTAATATGGAAAGAAGACAATTTATCTCTGTATTCATTGTGGACAAGGGAAGTCAAAATAGTTGTATGTGCTATTTCTATATTCTATAATTAAAGAAAAAAACAGGCTTATTTGATGAATTTGTCTTAAGCAGCAACCAGTCTCTGCAAACAATGTCTTTTCTCCAAGATCATGGTTTAACTCAAGGTTAAAGAAGTGATGTGGTAAAGTTTGCCCTGCTTTAATTTTTTTAATGTAAAGTCACTTCTCATGTTTATATGCTTAAACATAACTCCACGTGGGGCAGCAAAGTGCAGTATACTTTGTCCCTGGAAGAAAAGAATTGTTAAGAGTTAACAACCTGTAAGCAAGTGTTAAAAACCTATAAGAGAGAATCAGCCTGGCTGAGAACAAATCAAATGATGGGTCACCAGGATTCTCAGATAATACAATTATAGGCAACTATAAAAATGGAATGGTAATGATTTTAGGTATGGAAAGAATAAAATGCAGAAAAATATATTAACAAACTTGAGAAAAATTCTGCAAGAATTGGAGAAATCCTCTTCATTGCCATTGTGCTTAAAATAGAAGAAAACATAGAAAAAAGAGGAAAAATAGAACAGAGAGATAAAATAAACATATTGGTAATTCTAACAGATATAAACTAATTGTCTTTATAGAACAAGTCAAAGAAGAACTGTTTTCAGGACACTGATTTTTTGGTTATTGTTTCCATATACAAGTGAAATTCTTCCACACACTAAAAAAGAGTGAACAGGTTCAATCTGTAGGCGACTGCCCCCATCACAGGTTGTAGGAGGGCAGAACAGATAGGTGGGAGCAGTGTTTGTGAGAAGAGAGTCCAAAAAATGGGGGAGAAGGGGAGTGGTCGTGAGGTAGACACTGGAATTAGAGTTGGGTGCAAGTTTTCCTCTTAGGCTGTCAGCAGAAGTTTATTTTATACATTTCAAGCAAACAATTAGCATATGAATTGGGCTGGGCTGAGATCACAATCATCTTTTTTTCTGAGAGTAGTTTGGGGTCGTATTGACCTTCAGCTAAGATTATAACATTATTCTTAAAATCGATCTATTAAAATTAAGATAGGTACATAAGTTCATAAAATTTAAAGCTAACATTATTATGTTTATCACAGTGATGATTGGCTAAAATAAAGTCCCTTTAAAACTTAAATGCTACTCTATGACCTTTATTCTCATTAAGACATCTTGAAGGGTAAAGTCAAGTCGAGGACTAGGGTGGAGGCTGGGTGGAGATATGAAGATAAAGTAAGCTCGGAGCTAGGGTGGAGTAATTCTCTTGTAAATCAGTCACAAAGAGATGCAGTAAATTTCCTTAAAAACTGAATAGAAGACTTAGGTGAAGTTCCTTATTTGAAGACTAAACAATAGAAAACTTAAGTAGTTCTTTAGAAACTGAATAGAAGGCTTAGGTGAGATAGTAGAGAGATGAGATTTGGGTTCTCTTCTGGGCAAAAGAATTCTGATGATTTTTTAACTTGTTCTAGTACTGTCTTGTCTTACAATATTGATTTATTTTAATTGTTTTTATTAATCAGCCAGTTGTAATATTTTTGATTCCAAGAGGACTTTCCTGTCGTGGGGCGGCGCTTGCTCGCCTGAGCCAGGCAGCACCTTATGAGGCTGAGGCAGTCCAGTAGAAAACCGATGGTTGCTTGGAATATTTTGATGATTATACAAAAAAGGGGGGTCATAACATGAGCTAGCGTGAAAATTCTGATTTTTCAGAGCATTTCCCCTTCATCTGTACCGTGTCTGATGACATAAGTTGCATGGCTTGTGTCATCAAACATTATTTTCTTACTAAATTAGACAATGTTGGGCCGGACCAGTGATCCCGCCCCTCCGCCTTCCTTTGTGTCTGTGTGACCCCTCCCAAAACCCAGACAGATATGCCAACAGGCAGAGACCACGCCCTAGCGTTAATTCCTGGGACAGATCGAAATTGGATTCTGATATCAGCTCCTGACTCACAGCTGAGACATCTGTTCCTGGGAACACGCCCTTGTGTGATTGAACTGTGATGCGAGCTGTGAGGCTTGTTAATCTTTGAATTCATTTGCTAAGTCGAATTTGCACAGGCCATGACTCATGTAACAGCCAGTGAGGCCTATAGATTCCCTGACATCCCTCTGCTCCCGGTCTTGCTTCTCTTGTGTGGCCTGCGTGCCTGCAAGAAAGCTTGACCCCAGCTAGCTGGCTCAATAAACTCCGCTTGCTTGTGCATCTCTGGTCCTGTCCTTTGTCGCAGGAGGCAGCTGGGTGATTTTGGACCTTAACAACTGTTGGGTCCCAGCCGGGATGAGCCTCCCCAACCACCCCCGGAGCTTAAGCACAAGATCATAATAGGAAGAAGACATCTTGCCACTTGTGTGAGTGGCTTAACTGATTAATATCCACCCTGATCGCAGTAGCACATGTGAGGGAGATTTCCTCCTGCCCCTAGGCCAACATCCTGGGATTAAGGGTATAAAAGGGAGTCTGGAAAAGGAGAGTGAACGTTTTGCTGCAACCATCTATGCGTGCTGACTCTTCAACCTTGAAGTCTCCCCCGCAGACTCCTATCCCTGCAGTGCCGGCGCGGCAAACAACAACTTAGAAATAAAATCAGGGCCCCTGGTGGTGCAGCTGGTTGAAACTCAGCACTACAAAGCAAGCTGCAGCTGCAGCCATTTCAGCAGGAGTTCTATCCCCAGCCAGGGAGCTGACCCACATGGTGCCACAGACTCTCCTGACCCACCCACTGCTCCCCTCAGGAGTGCACTTTGTCAATCTGTCTGCTCCCCACTCTAGTGAATCCTCTCACTGCCCCAGCACCTGTGCCTGTACCCCAATTCTGCATGCATAATTAAGTAAATAAATCTTTAAAAAGAAACAAAATGTAAATAGTCAAGCATTGGGTGAAAAAAAGTTATTTGCATCATCCATGAGAAAACACACTGAAATTGTACAACCAGTATGAAAAAGTTTGGAAAATACTAACATCTTTTAAGCAAAATAAATTTGGTTTCTATTATGACTTACATTATT